ATAATAATATTATTATTTATATTAAAATTCATAATATATTCATAATATTCATAATATAACAATATATATATTTATATTATATAAATGTAATAATAATGATAAATGTAAAATAATATGTTTGATAATATTTCAAATACATATTATTCATAAATAAAAGAATTTTTTATTTAAAATATTAATTATATAAATATAATAATATTATTGTTTATATTAAAATTCATAATATATTTATAATATTTATAATATATCAGTATATATATATATATATATTATATAAATGTATAAAAAATATATATTTAGTTTTATTGCAAATTATAGGGAAATATTGATTGTTGGTTACCGAAAATAATATATAAGCCAAAGTTTTATGAAGAACAAAAAGCAGAAAATAAAAAAATCAAGATACAAAATAAATATATATTACAAAAAATTCAAAATGCAACTAGTAAATATTCTACTGTAAAATTTATACAAAGTTGGAAGGAAATGCAAAAGAAAATGGAAATAAAAAAAAGGCAAACTTTCTTGAACGTTTAGTTATATTAATGTATTGTGAAATAATACTTCTTATATGAATTTTATAGATATGAACATAAACCTTTAGTAAAAGTTATTGGATTGCAGTTAATTCCAGATCATTGTATGATTAAAGATTTATCGTTACTAAAGGAAATGAATCCGTCTATTCGAACCAAATGTTTTTTTGAAATTGAAATTAAAGGAGATCAAAAATTAGGATGCATTCAATTTGAACTTTATAATGATATTGTACCTCAAACATGTAAAAATTTTGCAGAATTATGTCGTGGATTTAATGGTTTATCATATAAGTATATATTTTAAAAAGATAAATTATCATTCTTAAAATTTTTATCATTAAATAATAAATTTAATTATCATTAAGTTATCATTATCAGATTTAATATAAAATATAATAAATTCGTATTATATCATGATATTAAATCTCTATATAATATATGTGTATTTATATTGACGAAAATAATATTTTTTGTATTAGGAATACACCATTTCACCGAATTGTTTCTGGTTATTGGTGTCAAGGTGGAGATGTTACAAAATTTAACGGAAGTGGAGGAATTTCCATATATGGTGATTTTTTCGAAAATGAGAATTATAATTTACGTCATGCTGGTCCTGGAATTTTATCTATGTGTAATGAGAATGAGAATAAAAGTAATTCCAAATTTAATCTTACTTTTAAACAGTTAGAGACGGTAAACGAGAAAAATGTAGTTTTTGGAAAAGTTATTGCAGGTCTTTCAAATATTTATAAGGTAATATTTTCAAATCTTTATTTTAATAATATAATATATTTAATTTTAATAATATGATTGTATAAAAAGTAATGATTTTGAATGTATTATTGAATATTAGTATAAAATCTAATATTTTTAGATCGAAGAATTTGGAACAAAAACAGGAAAACCATTTAAAACAATAATTGTATCTAATTGTGGTATTATATAAAGAAATAAAAATTATAGATAAAATCAAGTAAAAACATAAAAAATGAAATCAATTATTAAATCATATATACATATGTATATATAAACATTGAAGTATTATATAAACATTTCTTTAATGAATATGTATCACAATTTAATATTAAATTTTTAAATTTAACATAATTTAATTATTTTTTATCACAACATCAGTTAATTTTTTTAATACATTTAATTATTTATATTAACTTTATTTATAAATATGCATGACATATATTATATACATGTATATAGTGATTTATATATTATATATATATATTATATACATGTATAATGATTTATATATTAAGGAAAAAATATAGGTAAATATTTGATAATAAACTATATTTTATTATATTTTTTGCAACAATCTCTATTTTTAATTAATTATTCATATGCAATTATCATCAACTATTTTATATGTTATATATATATTACATATATCCTATATATTCTAATTTATATATTCATAACAATAAGGCACTTAAAAATTAATAAAATAAAAAATCTTCTTATTTATGTATAGATACATTAAAATAATATTATTAAAATAACTATATATGATTAAAACAAAAAAGATATAAATACAATTAAAGTAAAATAATGTTAGCAATGAAGATATATATAATGCAATAGAAATTATTTCATTTTATATCTAATTAACCACAGATCATTATATAATTTATATTTTTAAGCTGGTATTCTTTTAGGATTTAAATCATACATTCGACGCATACGTTTTTTTAATTCTTGTGGAAATTTATCATAGCACTTTTTACATGCCGGTTTTAAATCAAATTCAAAAAACTTAGTTTTTTGATTCATTTTTTGATCACAAAAAGCACATGCAAAATGATGAACGCACCATGCTTTGTTCAAAGCTGTAAAAACTGAAAAATTCGAAATATATTATATATCCTTTTATTATTTAAGTTATATTTATATATCATATTTTCAATATTTTGAATTCGAAAAATTGAAATAAATTTATGATATACTTGCCATCACCAGAAATTACTTGATTACATACAAAACATAAATTGCCAAAAAGTTGATGATAATGTGTTTCACAATAAGCTAAACCTTTCTTCTCATAATGACGGTGACCTAAAAATGGCTTTTCACATTTTGCACAAACAAAATGTTCAACATGCCAATGTTTGCCTAAAGCAGTTACTACTCGTTCCTCAATTGGACGTCGACATGCACCACAAATTGGAATTCCCATTTTATCATGACATCTCAAACAGTATAACTCATTCTAAAAATGAATTATTAAATAATTAAAATATGAATTATATATCAATATGTTATAAAAAATATTATTTTAAAATAATATAATTATAAATATGTACCATTTCATTTGCAGCATATCCTGGTCTAGAATTAACTTCTCTAGCATCTGAATTAAGTTCTATACCACAAGCAGTACAATTAAAATGATAAGGATGATAAAGTTCTCCACGAAAACGAAGAGGTTTGTCATCAATTACACCACTAAAAATTATATATTATAGATATTAAAAAAATATATTTTGCTTGCATAATTTTTAAATTAAATTATGTAAATAAAATTAAAATTCATACTGGCATTGATGACAGATATATTTTCCAAGTGCCCCAGCCTTAACACGTGCATTACATGTGTGACATAATGCTCTACCCTGACATTTAATAAATCCTGCATCAGCCAATTCACCATTGCATTCTTCACAACGAAAACATCCTGGATGCCAATTAGCATTCATAGCTTTTATTACACGGCCAATAACAAATTCTCCTACATAAATATTAATTCTTTAAATTCAAATTTGCAATATTTTTAGTATAAATAAAAACAATAACTCACCACATTTCTCACAACAAGGTGCAAATAAAACATGAAAATCATGTTCACAATATTTATATCCCTCAAATTCATAAAATATTCCATCTGGGAATGGACGAAAGCATTGTGCACATCTAAATAAAATCTTTTTTTATTATAATTTTTTATAATTATAGGTAATAATTACATTTAAATTTTGTGCATGAATATTAGTATCTTTACTACATTATCTACTTAATAATGTTTAAAAAATTATATTTAATTTATATTTTCTCTACTAAAGAAAATATAATAAATTTTAATAAATTCTAAAAAAATAATTCAATTCTTACACAAAACATTGAGGATGCCATAATTCTCCATTTGAATTAACAATCTTCTCATGAGGTACAAAACCTTCTCTACATCGAGAACAAAACATATTATCCAAAGACATCTCTGTAACACTTTATTAAAATTTATATTATTAATAAAAATAATTAGATAAAAAAATGATGCATATGAATATAAATTAACATTTATTTAATATAATAATTAATAATTGATCAATATAATAAAATATATATTTTTTGATTTTATA